GAAGTCAATGTCACAAATACAAGATAATACTATTAATATAATGTGACTTTTCTAGAGAATCATTATACATAGTTATTTTATTCAGGGTTTCCACAGTCTGACATCATTTCAGAATTCCTTAACTTTAACTGACTCAGGATTAGTTTTCCCTGACAAAATAAATGCAGCCGTTTGTCGTTTTGGCAACTACATCAAAATTACCGTCTTCTGGCGGAAAATCACTCAGCCTTTTTCAAATTACGCGAGAATGTGTACGAAACAACAAAAATGCTTCTTGGTCGTTTTCATCAAATGTCGGTGATTTTAAAGTAATTTTGAGTGATAAATAAACATTTTGTGCAATCATTGCCCGGCGGGCAAACGCAATGAAATTTGTACTCTCCCGACAATAAAAACTGCTTGCCCCGGGCGATCGGGTCATGGTTAACATCGAGTCCTGGGTGCCTTTCTTCCTGCTTCTGCGTATTTCTGATGAAATTGTAATTTATTGAGATCAACTTGTAGATCTATTTACTTGGACAGATCTTTCAGCAGAGATTTAGAGTAAAAACACTAGTTCAGTTCCTTTCCTTGGTTTCCCTCCTGTGTTTTCTCGCTTCCTTGTAAGCTGCTGTGATCTGATGGTCTGTGTCTGTCTGCATCTTTCATACCGACTGAAGGTATGGGACCAGGTGAAGGCCTCCAACCCAGACCTGAAGCTGTGGGAGATCGGGAAGATCATTGGAGGAATGTGGCGGGACCTGACCGACGAGGAGAAGCAGGACTACCTGAATGAGTACGAAGCTGAAAAGGTGAGCTGCTGCTGCCAGGAGGCCGTGCACAGCGCGGGAAACGTTTAGGGTCACATGATCGCCTGACCGAACTGGAACAGAACTGCTTGTTTTAATAACTTGCTGCAGAAATAGGCTGCAGTCTGCATAGAACCTTTGCTGTACTGCAGACCAACAGGATAACAGGAAAACTGTAGAAGGAATACAAAAACATTCAAAGCCAGTTTCTCTGATGCAAAGCCTAAAGGCTGATTTATACTTCCATACTAGGTCGTCTGCGTAGGTGTCGCGGTGAATGCAGAGACGTCCCAGCCTCCTCCGTAGGCACTCTGCTGTCACCTCTAACAAATTGTAGGTGCAGCAGACAGGTTAGCCTGGTTAGGAGGGGCGAGGACTTTGTCGGTTCTCGGTCTTCTTGTGAATTGGAACAGCGCTAGGACTAAGGCTGATGATGTTCACGGGTACATGAGAATGTACAAGTACACATTGACAGGAGTTAGAAGTTTCTTCTCTGTGGAGTAGAGGGACCAAAGATGTGGTCATCTGGTGGCACGTTGTCCCAGTTCCAGACTGTTTGCTGTTTTCTATGATTAAGTCATTGAAATCAGAGTCATCCTCCTGCATCAGTGTGTCGCAGTGAGCTTGTTGCAGGTATGATGCAGACATTTTTGATTTATGCTCCATATTGAAGCGTGGTCTGTACTATGTCTATTACACGCAACATGCAAAAGAGGAAAATCAGGAACTAGCTGTGGGTCTAGGTACGGCCGAGGCGGTGAGGAAGTGGGGGCAAGTTTGTCCGACAACGGAGAAACATGAGGGTGAAAAAGAGCGGGGATTGGTCGCAGCGTTCTTGCGCACTTCGCTCTTCTAGCTGGTCCATCGTCACGAGTCGTTTTCCACAATGGCGGTCATACAAACAAAACAAGTTGGTAAGGTAGCAAACAGGAAATACGTATAGAGTAGAGCGGATGGGGATTTGACCAAGCAGAGGCCTCCTGTCTACAGAAGGGGCGGGGCATATCTGCGTTCACTGCGACACCTACGCAGACGACCTATAGTACGAATCACCTTAAGCTTTCCTTTCACTGGTTCTGTTTGTTATTCAGGCTAATAGTTTAATTGAGTCTTTAAAATCTAGAATGTTCAAAGATGTCAGATATTTCTGTTTGGCCTTTCGGATCGTTCTCAGCGTCTGTATCGCAGCGTTATCCGAATGGAAACCATCTTTTAACTTGTCCGATTTGACAGGTTTGACTTAGTCTCTTTATTTATCCTTCCTGTTTGCAGATCGAGTACACGGACTCTCTGAAAGCTTATCACAACTCTCCAGCTTACTTAGCTTATGTGAACGCTAAGAACCGCGCCGAGGCGGCCATGGAGGAGGAGAGCCGGCAGAGGCAGAGCCGTTTGGAGAAAGGGGAGCCATACATGAGCATTCAGCCTGCTGAAGACCCTGATGGCAAGTTCATCTTCAAAACGCAGAACCGAAAGATCCGGCTGATGAACCGACATGCTGAGAGCTGAGCTGGATGGTGTGACCTGAATGAATCTAGTCTTTGTCTCTGCAGACTACGACGACGGCTTTTCAGTGAAGCACTCTGCAGCCGCTCGCTTCCAGAGGAACCATCGGCTCATCAGCGACATCCTCAGCGAGATCGTCGTCCCCGACGTCCGCTCTGTGGTCACCACCGCCCGCATGCAGGTCCTCAAGAGACAGGTCCAGTCGCTGATGGTGCATCAGGTTGGTTGCCGTTCAGCAGCTGTGTGACTGGGCGGATGATGATGATGATGGCTGCCGCTGAGCCGTCCGTCTCTGGATTTTTTTCAGAGGAAGCTGGAAGCAGAACTTCTGCAGATTGAAGACCGCCACCAAGAAAAGAAACGCCGCTTCCTGGAAACTACTGATTCCTTCAACACTGAGCTGAAGAGGGTAAGAAGCGTCTCACATCGATGCTTGGCTTAGTTTAGTCAAAGGGAAGGCATATTTAATTGTCAAATCATTCTGGTATGGAATTAAATCTGTGTCGCTGGGATTTGAATTAAAAATTCCACTGAAATTTAAATGTTGTATGTTTGTACTTACTGTTTTAGCGTTAGAATATATTCAGAACAATTTTTTGACCTAAACAAAAAGTTCATTGTCATTATTTCTACAGCTGAAATTTCATTTATTTTCTCTTCAAGTTAAAAATTCGCATTACTGTTTCAAAGTGATTACATTTTCAATACTTATTTTTCAGTTTAATTTTTCTGTGTTAAAAAAGTCTGCATATAAAAAAAATTCAACGGTGAGTTTATTACTTTAATTTTTCTGTAGTTGAGTTAGCGTTAGCTTGCGTGACCGGCTCCGTCATGCTGGTTTTCCTTCAGTATGAGCGCCACAAGCGTCACGTCACGTGACTAAGAAACCGTAACGGGATTGGCTGGGTGTTGGACGCCACAATCCATTGCTAATGTCTGTGACCTGAAGTAACCCTTCCCTTTTTACACTGAATTTAAGACAGTGAAATAGAGCCAGTTGAAGGAGGCTAAAAATATTGTTTGAATTTTAAAAGGTTGAATTTTTTTATATGCAGATTTTTTAACACTCAAAAATTAAACTGAAAAATAAGTATTGAAAATGTAATCACTTTGAAATATTAATGTGAATTTTTAGCTTGAAGAGAAAATAAATTAAATTTCAACTGTGTAGAAATAATGACAATGAATTTTTTTTTTAGGTCAAAAATGTGTTCTGAATATATTTTAACACTGAAACATTAAGTACAAACATACAACATTTAAATTTCAGTTAGTGTTGTCACGATACTAAACTTTTCAACTCGATACCGATACTAAGTAAAATATTCGATACTCAATACCCTTTTCGATACCACAAGGATAAAAACAAAGACTAAAATTCAACAGAAATATTTTCATTACTAAAAAAATACAAGAAATAAATAAAAAAAACAATAAGAATAATATTTTGAGGTTATATGCTGTGCACAATATTAAGCAAGCTTGATAAAAAAAATTAAAATTAAGTTTTCCTTCCTTGGCTATGTTTTGCAGACATAACAATGACACTAGACAAACCAGTTAAGAAACAAAAATAATTCTCAGCAGCTGCACCTGTTACAGAAAAAGTCTGAAACTGAAAAATGCACAGAATTATTCAATCACACAGTGTTCAGAAAGTGCATTTTCCACTATTCTGCACTTTAGATGGCTGTGTCGACACTTTTTAAAATGAGTATTGTATCCGGATACGTTTCAGTATCGATACTTTTTTGAGTATCGATACTTTTGACAAAAACCTAATTTCAGTGGCATTTTTAATTCAAATCGTAGCGACACAGATTTACTTCCATATTCTGGCTTTAACATGTATATAAATGGTAATCTTTATCAGATGATATTGTCCCAAAAGTTTAGAAATTTCTATTTAAAAACAAAAATTCTGTCTTAAAATCTGTGTTTTTTTTTCCGTTATCTTCTGCAGGCCAGTTCTACGTCAGCCTGAACACCTAAATTCAGCCAATCAGCATTCAACGGTCATCTGTCAATCAAATGTTTTCGGTCATAGCATCTTGATTCATGTGTCGCAGCTAATATACGCAGCGGTTGAAACCAGAATCCTTTCCTTTCCCATTGAGTTGCGTCCCAGTGTTCACGGGGATGGACGTCTGTGTCTTCGGCAGGCGTAGAGCTAACAGAACTGGCAGCGTTGCGAGGCAAGGGCTCAAACATGTACGGCTGGAAGCCTTCTACACCAAACCAAGCTTCTGCCGCCCTGGCGTCCTCTTCCACAACATCTTCATCCCCGCTTTCCTCCTCTAAATAAAACATGGATGACGGAGGAGACTCATCCACGACCTCCGACACTAAACTCTCCTCCTCTTGCATGTTTCCGCTGTCCATAGCGTTCCTTGACAGCGTCGTTTCTAAGTCACCAATTTAGTGCTAGTAGGTTCACAATGGAAAATTCCATTGCGACCAAGTTGCTAACTGGTTAGCAAGATGCTTCCGACACACCAGCCACAATCGAACTTGCTTGCGAACGTTCCGCCACAACATTCCCACCTCCTAGATACTCGACCAATCACATTCACTTTATCTGGAATTCAGAAATGCAACGGTTGGAACAGCCGCTTCCCTACGACTTTAAAGAAATGTTTCTTGGTGTTTAATCAGGGCAGGAAAGTATGTCGAGGTTTAAAAATATAAAAATCTTTTCTTTGTTTCATTAGAATATTACTTCTTTCAGCCATGTTTATCTGTAGATGTTTGTTAATAAAAAACGTTCTAACTCCTGGATTTGTTTCCACTCTTCCCAATGATGAGACGGAGTGGAATCAAATCCAAACTGGGATTTGACTCCGATGTTCCTCTGAGGAGGAGTTTGGCTGCTGCTGACCGTTCCTTGTCTCCAGCTGTGCAGCCTGAAGGTGGAGGTGGACATGGAGAAGCTGGCAGCAGAGATGGCCGCTGCAGAGGAGGCTGCGAGGCGGCGAGCCGAGGAGCGGGAGCGCGAGGCCGCCGAGCAGGCGGAGAAAGCGGCGCAGCAACAACAGGAGGCCGCTGCTAACAAAGCTGCCGAGCAGAGCGGCGCGGACTCCGCCTCAGGGACCAAAGAGGAAGAGAAGCCCACGCCGATGGAGACGGGTACGGTTCTCTGCACTGGAGCTAAATGTTTGCTTTTATCTGGGAAGTTTCATGTTTTCTTCTGCCCAGCAGACGAAGCGGCGCCTGCAGAGACCCTCTCGGACCAACAGTCCGCTCCCCCTCCTCCGTCTGACCCCCCCTCCCCCCCTTCCGATAACGCAGGCCTCCTCCCCGAGCCCCCAAGGGAGAGCAGCACTCCTGTGAGCAGCGCCCCCAGTGACGACAGCAACAGCATGCCCCCTCCGGTGGATGGAAACCCCGCAGCTACGGCGCCGTCGGACCCCTCAGGGGGACAGGAAGCGGCTAACACTGCAGCTGCAGCGCCCCCTCCTTCTTTGGATGACGTGGCCCCCCCACCACCAATACTTCTCCCTAACCAGAGCAGCCAGCAGTACGACATGTGAGAGTTTAGTTAGAGCTGAGTGTAGCTGTAGAGGTGGAGCCTGGAAACACCGCCATGTAGCCATGGGCTCCCGGGGGCCCCCCCCCCACCCTGCAAACCAAAGGGGCTCATTTACTGCCTGGATCAGCCAATAGAAAAGCTCCCATCCTTCTAGTTTCTTTAAGACGCAGAGCTGCTGCTGTTGCTTTTGTTTTGACAGATCTGCAGGAGGCGACGATGAAACTAAACCTGCCGTTTACTGAGATCTCATTGTTCTAAATGACTCAGCCGACCAGAGGAAACTCTGAGGTGTTTGATCCGTTTCATTGGCATCACCTCCTAACCTTCTGCATGCAGCAACCATCCTCCTGTATTAATGCACATGAGTAGAAACCTTCAGAATGTGGAATAAATCGGCCTCCCTGGAATCTTCTTCCTTTTACCTCTAAAGCTGCCGTAGATGTTTGCTCACCTCTGCTGATTGTTTTTTGTTGCAGAATGACCAGATATGTGCTCCATTATTTACACCCACTACCTTTTATTTGCCCCTTTCTGCTGACATCACCACGTCAGAGAAATCAGTTCATTTATACAACTAAGGACTGATTTCCTACTTCAAATGGACCTTTTTAGTAATATGCCTCTTTTTTTGTACCGTCTGATCTTATTCAAATAAATTTGCTTTTCCCAATGTGTGGATTTTTTTTTTTCCTCTGAAAGTCTAATTATTCTGGATTGTTTGCTGCTGTAAAGCGCTGATGTTTTCAGGGTCATTAAAAATAAATGTCATTAAATAATTTTTTTAATTAGGGCCTTAATTGGCATTAAAATTCATTAAATGTGTTTATTGTGGCATTTAAAAAACATTTATAAAAACAATATCATCAGAGATATATCACACATTCGCGTGGAACCGCTTCCAGTTGATCACAAAGACGTGCGTTCGGAAAGGAAGCTTGAGTCGGAGAAAAGCTAGAGGATGGGGAAGAATGCCAATTTCAACAAAAGGAATTCGGGGAATGACTGCAGCCTGTTGGTGGCATTAAAATTATTTCTAAGAGCATTAAAGGAGAAATAAAAAGAATTAAATTAGAGTTATTCATTCCTGTATAAACCCTGGTTTTAGTGTTTGGAGAAATGGGGCTTTGTGTTACGGCTCTGGGCTTAATGGGGGGGGGGCAGGAAATGAGAGTATGGGGAGAAATTGATTTGAAAATGTTATAAATTCTATGTCAGAAGCTTTTTACATTAGGTTTTTTTGACTAACCTTAAACATTTGTCGTTTTGTGGCGAACACCTGGTCAATACCAGTCTGAAAAATGGGATTTTTTACCTTAATTATATTTGTAGGCCTTACAGTGGCGCTTACTGATGGAGACCTGTTTGTTTTGCGCTGACATGAATTTCCCCGCTGAGAGAAAAGGGGTTTTTCTATCCCATTTTTTTTATCAGGTTGATTAACATTTAGGGAGAAATGTTTTGCTGTTAAATGATTCCAGTATCACAATAAACCCATCGATAGATCTGAGCTTTGGTCTTCAAACTACTACTACAGATTCCGTTTAATGCTGAATAATTTGGATAATGAACGTTTTTGAGAACAATTTTCTAACTCCAGAGGCGCTGATTTTTATTTACGCTATACAGTAACAAGAATAGGACTAAACTTCTCCAGCCCTTTAGGTGGCGCTACAAAGAAAGGTAGAATTGCAGCTAGCAGCAGAAATATGAAACACTTTTTCACATAAAGTAATGATGGACTCCAGGAAAGCAAGCTTTGAAATAAAGCCTAGAGTGAAACATCTACATGTTTGGGGTTAATGAAAAGCAAAACTGAAATAAAATTGTTCAGGTCTAAACCTCCAAATGCTAATTAAGACAAACCAGGGTGTGTTAATAGTGCAAAGATCAATTAAACCATTTTAAAATCATAGCCTGAGAATTTTTCGAGGCACCACTTCCTCTGATTCAAGACGTTGCAGAAAGTTACTGCCTGATCAGAGGAATATAGTCAGGTTCAGAACCAGGACCTGTTTAGCTTCTGAGGTCAAGGAAGGAACTACAGCGAGTCTGTAGAGAAAAACT